GCTTGGTGAGGAAGACCTGTACTGAACGTCTCTCCCTTTGGTTTTGCAAACACTTTCCACATGAGAGGAGCCTTTCCAGATGGATACAGAGAAGAATTCAGGTTGAACTAAAGCAGGAATGTCCAAAGTCGGTCCTGGAGGGCCGCTCTCCTGCAGGTTTTAGAGGATTTCTGGATTTTCATTGATAGCTGATGATCAGGCTTTTGCTGAACGGAAATAATCAGACTCAGCTTTGCTGAAGCAGGAAACTATCTAAACCTGCACACTGGAAAAACAATCTAGATATAGGTTAAAATTTCCTAAATTAAGTGTATTTATCCTTAAATAGAGTAGGTAAATGAGATAGTTTCCCAATATAATGAGTATTTTTACTCTTAAAATAAGATAATTAGATAAAATGCACTTGAAACAAAACAATGCAATTGTGTTTTCTTATTGTAAATGTAAATTGTCTTGTTTAATTTGCAAAATGTCTCTTTAACCTCCTCAATCCAAGCACAATTTTAAGACACTTATTTTAAGAAAAAATGACTTATCTAGATTTCGATTTTTTCCAGTGTAGGACAGCGTCCATCAAGGACCGACTTTGGACATGAACTAAAGGATCAATCTGGGATATCCCAGATTTAGGACCAAATTCACAAAATAATTCTTAGAAGCAGCTTCAAGCAGAGAATAAATGAATCATTATGTTTATCAGCATTTCATGCTGGTAAGAGCTTACACAATGCAAAAAATTCAAATCTAAATAGGTAATTATTTTCTTAAAATAAGTGCATTCATTCTTGAAAGGAGGAGGTAAGTGAGACATTCTGCCAATGGACCAACACAATTTACATTTAAAATAAGAACAAACAATGGCATTGTCAGATTTCAAGTGCATATTATCTAATTATCTTATTTTAAGAGTAAAGATCATTGTATTTATTTACTCAATTGAAGGGTAAATAAACTTAATATAAGAAATGTTTAGTTACTTTAAGATTGTTTTTGCAGTGCAGGAACCACAGAGGCTAACAGCAGAGGCCCGTAGCATGAAGCTAGCTCAACGTAATTATTTCCAGTCTACCCAGTTTATTCAATCCACAAAAATAGATCTACAAAGACAGAGAATCAGGACGGAATCAACATGAAGGTAACTCAGGATGGTAACATCTTTGGGTCGCTGTCAGCAGCAGAAAAGCAGAATCTGAGTTCATCTACAGCCAAGCTCAGTTAAGTCCAACTAGAGCTGCTCAACTCAACTAACTTATCTTCATTTCACAGAGCCAGCTGATCTGTTCTTTACGGAAGAGGATTAGGGCCACTGAAAAAAAAAAAAGTTAACTGATTTTTAAATTTTATTTCAGTTTAACATAGGGCTGGGCGATATAGAAAAAAAGCTTATCGATAAAAAAAAAAAAATGCATATTGATCGATATCGATAATTATTGAAAAGATTTGAAACCATATTTTATGTGCAGCTCTGCCTGGAC